AATGAGAAGGAAAGAGGGGGGAAAAAGAAATATGACAATTAAGTACTCCTTAAGGACATTAATCTAAATTAGGGACTATAAAATTTTAAAATTTAAATTAAGGATCATGGTTCTTAATTAGAATAAAAATATATATTTAATTTTACAAATTACCTTTTCCTAAACACTAAAAGTAAAACAAAACAGTTTATGTGGTGTTCCGTGTTTTTATTTTTAGGCGTGAGAAATCTGCTCTCACATGCTCTTGTGTGGAAAAAATGTGGACGAAAAAATTGTGGAGTGTATCATTTGAGTCATCTCTTCTCCTCTCTTGATAATAGGTAATTACATGCATTGCTTCTTTTATCTCTTCTCCTTTATCATTGCACGCGAGAAAAATCTATAATTTTCTCTTTTTTATCTTTTACATCTCTTTCTATCATGCATGCATGAAAGAATTTTATATTTTATAAATGTTCTTTTACATTGTTTTCTTTTATAGTTAAGGAAAAAAGTAATATTCTTGATGATTAATACATTATATATAGACATATACAATAAATGATTTTTGAGAACAATAGTGTTAAAAAAATTGAGTGAAAAATAAGAAAAAGATGTAATATGGATGTTGAATTTTTCACTGCTGTGATGAAAAGTGCGTTAATATTAACAAATGCAAACATGGATACTGAATGTTATAGGTATGATTGGGATTGTAGGAATGATAGTTGTGAATTAATAACTTTATGTGTTACTTCTAGTTGTTTCAAGTTTATTTCTTATATGGCAAGTACTTCAACAAAAGAAGTATTTGTTGTTTTCACGTTGAAAGACATTTGTTGATTTTTTAATTTTATATCCTCATAAGTTCTATAATTGACATTGCTTGAAAACATAGAACCTCACTTGGGAATATAATTTATGGAGATATAAAATTGAAAATTATTAAAATGTCCTTTAAATAAAAATAACAAAATATTCTTTTGTTGACATAGTTGCCATCGGGGAAACAAACTGAATAGCTAAAAGCAACACACAAAATTTATTACTTCATAAATTATTCTCCATAATTTTAACTATGACTACAACCAATTGAGCATTCATGTCACATTTTTTTTTAACATTAACGTACTTTTCATCACAATATAAAACAATTCAGTATCCATGTTATCATTTTCTTATTTTTTACTCATTTTTAACACTATCGTCCTTAGAAATTATTTATTGTGTGTGTCTATATATATATATCTATATATAATCTAATATTATGAAGAGGATTACTTTTTTTTCTTAATAATAAAGAAAAATTGGTGTAAAATAGCACTCACAAAGATATTAAAATTCTTTTGTACGTGTGTATGATAGAGAAGATATAAAAGATTGAGAAGCGAAAATTGCAAATTTTTTTGCGTGCATGATAGATGAGAGTAAAGAAAAAAACAAAAGCCATAATGTACTTACTTATTATCAAGAGAGGAGAAGATAAGACCTAGATGATGATCTCTATTTCACTAATTTTTTAACCCACATTTTTGGTGCAGAAAGAGTCATGAGATTAGATTTTTGCGCCCAAAATCAAGACTAGAGAACACGACATAAGTTGTTTTGTTGTTACCTTTTAGTATTTAGGAAAAGGGTAATTTTGTAAAGTTAGATATGTTTTTTATTCCATTAAGGATCATGGTCCTTTATTTGAATTTCAAAATTTATAGTCCTAATTGAGATTAACGTTTTTAAGAGGTTCTTAATTGTCCTTTTTCCTAAAAAAATCCGATCAAAAAGCATTTGGAAAAATTATAAGAAAGATTCAAGAAAAAAATTATAAAAAAGGCATAAGATTTTTTATGATAATAAAAGTAAAATCAAATTCTCTTCTCTTCTCTCTTTTTTCTTATCTTAGGAAAATTTAAACTTAAGATTTTCAAGAAAGTTACTTATATAAGTTTTTGTCAACCAATACACTTTACTTAGCAGTTGTTATAAAATCTAATTTAAGTGAAATATTAATTGGTAGAGAAAATTAATTTAATTTAATTTAAAATTTAATATCATACCAAAGTTTGTTGCAAAGGTTGAGGGAGAGAGATTTTGTGTCATTTTATTGCATTGCTACATTTTTTATATGTTTTAAAATTTTAAGATTAATGCTTGACATTTTCATATGACTCATATTTGTGATGTCATTAGAGATCAATTTATATTTATAAAATTATGTTTGATATTTAAGAATTAAATTTTTATCTTTTATTAACTTTATCTGAATTAAAAATATTGAGTTATTTACTTATTTATGCATATTAAATTGCTAAATTAATATATTTAAAATTTTATAATTAATAAATATAAATTTAAAATATATATTTTACTTCTTGAATAAAATTTAACAAATTTATAATTAGATACAAAATTTAGTAATAATTTAATTTTAAAAAGCAATGTCTTTATGAGAATTTGTATAGCACAAAAATTGATTTTGGCCCAATTATCCAAATAATTTTTTTATTTGTTAAAATTATTTTTAAAAAAACACAGTCCAAATAGTAGATTCCTTATTATGATATAATCAATTATAATAAAATCAATCATATTAATTAATTATTTTATAAATAATTAATATTCAACTGAAATTTAAACAAGTCTTTAGTCAATGCAAGTTGATTGATAATAATCAGACCAAAGCATACCCCTACTCATCCCACCCACAGACATTATAAGAGAGAATCGTTAGACTCATCTTAATCTTACGAATTGGACATATTACCATTAACACGTTTCCTCTTGAACAGCTTCTCTCAAGTGGATCCCTTTCTCCATCAAAACCATTTAACAAGCGATTTGGACAAACTATAACTAAACCTTTATAAAAAATAAGTTTTAAAATTTTTCACCGAGAAATGTATGGGTGACATAATAAATTAGTCCTTAAATTATAAGTCTATGAGCATTTATGACTTTAAACTAATTTTTTGTGTAATATCCCCATTTAACTTTTGAAATAGTATAATCTAATCCTATCAAGGCTTGAGGGATGTGTAATGTAATTCTCATCCCGTGCCAATCACCATCTACTTTCAAGGCGTGACACCAACCACCTTTACTAGTGTCAAATCCAAAGAAGCTAGGCCCTGACAATAAATAAATAAATACCTAATTTGATAAAAGTAGATATGTTTCATTCAATATAAAATTAAAAGCTTGAAGTGTAAAATATTATAGCCTCCGCTTCAAATATCAGTATTTTTTTGGAAAGGTTTTCCTTCTTCTTTTTTTTTTTTGGAGTTTATGTTTTCAAATAAGACATTTTGAAGATCAAAAAAATATATAAGGTAATGATATCTTTTTACCTAAAAAAAATGCTAAGAGTACATTGAAAATTACATATATTTTCTACGAAGTAGAGTATTAAGTAAAAATGTCTTATTCTTATAGAAAAAAAGGGGAGATCCCAAGAACCTTTGGTTCACTTGGCCCAAGTCATTCTTGTGATCAAGTTCGAGCTACACCTGCAACGTTTCAGTTTTTGCCAAATTTGAATAAAAAAACATAAACATTCCCAAATGCTAATAGTACGCATGTTAGTGGGTATATCTCTGCATGCAGGATAGGTGATTAATTTTATACAACGTCATTTATCCAACCACCTTCACGAGTGTCAAATCCAAGGAAGCTGGGCCTTATAACAATAAATAATAGATACCTAATTTGATAAAAGTATATATGATTCATTCAATATAAAATTAAAAGCTTGAAGTATTAAATATTATAACCTCCGCCTCAAATATCAGTATTTTTTGGAAAGGTTTTTCTTTCTTTTTTTTGGAGTTTATGTTTTTGAATAAGACATTTTGAAGATCAAAAAAATATATAAGGTAATAATATCTTTTTACCTAAAAAAATGCTAAGAGTACATTGAAAATTACATATATTTTCTACTGGATGGAGTATTAAGTAAAAGTGTCTTATTATTATAGAAAAAAAGGGGGGATCCCAAGAACCTTTGGTTCACTTGGCCGAAGCCATTCTTGTGATCAAGTTCGAGCTATACTTGCAACGTTTTGGTGTTTGTCGAATCTGAATAAAGAAACATAGATATTCCCAAATGCTAATAGCACGCATGTCGGTGGATATATCTCTACATGCAGGATAGGTGATTAATTTTATACGACACCATTCATCCAACGACCTTTACAAGTGTCAAATCCAAAGAAGCTGGGCCCTATAACAATAAATAATAGATACATAATTTGATAAAAGTAGATATGATTCATTCAATATAAATTAGAAACTTGAAGTATCAAATATTATAGCCTTCGCCTTAAAAATCAGTGTTTTTTTTTGGAAAGGTTTTTCTTTCTTTGTTTTTTTGAAGTTTATGTTTCCAAATAAGACATTTTGAAGATCAAACAAATATATAAGGTAATAATATCTTTTTACCTAAGAAATGCTAAGAGTACATTGAAAATTACGTATATTTTCTACCGGATGGAGTATTAAGTAAAAGTGTTTTATTATTATAGAAAAAAAGGGGGGATTCCCTTGACCCAAGCCATTCTTGTGATCAAGTTCGAGCTACACCTGCAACGTTTTGATGTTTGTCAAATTTGAATAAAAAAACGTAGATATTCTCAAATGGTAATAATACGCATGTTGGTGGGTATATCTTTGCATGTAGGATAGGTGATTAATTTCATCCAACGTCATTCATTTAGTTGTAATGACCTTAAATTTTAAATTAAAAAAATATTCTTAATTTATATTTTATTTAAATTAGTTTATGGTAAATGGAGAGGGTTGGATTAGTGAAACTTATGTTAATAGCTTACTTGAAGGTCCAATGCTTAAAATTGTTTAAAAAATATATTAATTTTATTTAGTTAAAAATTGTGGGAAAATTACCAAAGTGCCTATGTCTTTTATGTTATTAGAAGAAATATTGGGTCCTCTCTTATAATTTTTGCAAGTTCTTAAAGTTCATATTTATATTCTCCTCTCTCGGTCAAACACGCACGGAACGCGTCACTTTCTTTCCTTCTCCTCCTCGGTCATTTTCGGAAAATCCATGAGCACCGCCTCTGCTCTGCTTCGATTCTAGCATGTCCACAGCGTTCTCCATACTTCCTCTTCAGTCTTCAAGGTTGCCGGCGTGGGAATGTTAGAGTGCGTTGTCCGTTGCTGCTGCCGTGAGTTTTCCTCTTCCCCTGTGCTGCACTGACTTCCCTTCCCTTCCGTTCTGCAACATCACCCTTCCTCCTTCACTCAGCTGACAGCCACCGGTGGTTATGTCAGAGTCATACTCGTGCAACCTTCTCCTTCCTCCTCTGTCCGAGCAATAGCTTGGATGCATCAGAAATCTTCCCTCCCTGTTCTGTCTATTGCTGAAGCATCCTTCAGAAATCTCTCCCTCGGCCACTCCTTCCTCTTCGATCCTTGCTTCCTTGTGGGTGTGCGATGGACCCTCTTCTTGTTTTTTTTTCCAATGTTTATGCAACTAGTTTCCTCATTTTGCTTTTGTCGCTGCTGATCAAAGGTAAGGAGCTTCAAACTCCCTTCTTGTTGCTGGTCTGTTGGGGTGTGTGTGCTTAAATTTTAGAGATTGTGATTTTTCCTCCTGCTTTGCTGCTGTGCACGTCGAATAGAGGAGGAGGGGTTTAGTAAAATTGGAATTTTTCAGATTTTGAAAGCCAGTTGTACTGTGAATTTGAATTCTAATTGAGCTTATTATTATTTTTATTATTTGCTTGAAAGAATGAACTGTAGGAAGATTGGTTAATCTAAATATTGATATTGAGAAAGTTTGGAAGGATATTATGAAAAAGAGGTTTGGTATTTATTTGAATCTGGATGCACACGAGATGTTTGACAAAATGCTTGAAAGGAAATTGGAATTAGAAGTTGTGATTTTTGAGGAGGATATTTTTATTGATAGTTTAACTATCAAATTGCTAGTTATGTATTGATTTTTGAAATATTTATTGAATGTTGTGGAATTGTAGGAGACTAAAATTTTATTGTATATTAAGGAGATTGGAGGAAAAATGAATTTGTTATTATGGTTTAAGAAATTGTGCCTACAAGATGTTTAAGGAAGTGTCTGTTAGAATGAGTTTTGTTTGATTATGAACTTCCTAAAATATCATTAACTTTTGTAAGGACATATTTGATTTAAATGTTGATTTTTCCATGGATTTAACTTTGTTTTGTGAAGAATTCTTATTGTGAAGCCATTGTGAGACAAGTTGGGTTTTGAAAAATGGCATGGTTGATGAGTATAAATGATAATGTTGTTTTTAGAATTAATTTTGGGAAATGCACCTATGGTGCTTGATAAAATGAGTGATAGAACTTTGAAAATTTAAGTGATCATAGAGCTGTTGATATTGTAAAAGAGTTTATTAAATTTGAGTAAAGGTTATTGAATTATTTTTTATATTGAATAGGGTGTTTAGAAGAAGGAAGATTTGACTCTAAAGAGTGAATTTGCACTTGAAAATACTACAAATAAGTGAATAGCATTTCAATTAATTTTTTCAATCAAAATTTCCTTCACTAAAATATTACATTTTTTTGCAAATCATTTTAATAGCAATAATGTGATTATTGAATATTTGTTGATTAAAATTACTTTATTTTGAGAAATTAGCTTTATCAGATTTGAAATATTATTTAATTAATTAAATCAAGTTTGAATTTAGATTATGAGATTTTTATTTTATCAAATATTGAATTGATACATAAAACGATTCATGCGAGTTTGACATTGAAAATAAAAATTTTTATTTAATAATTTCTTGCATGTTTGAAAATGGATTTGAAAAAAATTTTATACAGGAGACTGGTTGTAACGATGGTTTCGTTAGCCCTTGAAGCACCATGATTATGACTAATTAGTTTGATTTTCATGAGTATCGTACTCACGTTTGTTATTCGTGGGTTTTATAGTTGTATTTGTTTTGTGATTTCAGCCTTGTTTAGTTAATATTATCCTCATGGATTGTGTATCGACATTTGTCTTCATGTTATAAGCCACATTTGGTTGTTTATCTTCACAGATTGTGTGTCTATATTTGTAAATTATTTTGATAAATCCCTCAAAAATATGTGAATTTTTAATTAATTAGTGATTTCATATATGATAATTTTTAAATTTAGTAAATATTTTTACTTATTTATTTAATCATTTTAACTTGTCAATTTCAAATGTTAAAGTTGTTTTGTCATTATAAATTTAAATGTTGTCGTTATTGTAGTTATGTAGAACTCTTATATCAATTTTACAAATTTATTTACATCAAATTGCTTTCTCATTTAATTTATATAATTATTGTATTTTATTCATTTTGATTTTATTAAATGTTATGGTTGAGATGTTATTTACTAAAAAGTTATTTTGATATCAGATAATGTAGCTGATGCTGTACGTCATGCGGTACACTGAGGGATTTTTAGCTGAGATGAGTGAAGATCTGTTGTGTAAATATCTCTTACTGATATAAATATGAAATTTATGTATTATGTCATAAAGTATATAATTAGGTGTGGAATAGACTATAGTTAGGATTCATATTTTTTTAAATATTTTGTTTGTTGGCTGGACGGAGCTGAGCTCCTAATTAAAATGATCTCTTGTATAAAATATTGTGTTATTCAGTTTTTGGAAGATCCTATTTATAAGAAAATTTTTGCTGAAATTTCTACAAAAAAAATTTAAGATTTTATTAATACGAAAATGGTCATATGTTATAAATTAATATAAATATAATCATGTTTTAGTAATGAAAAGATTTCTTGATTTAAGGGTTGATGGATGCGTGATGTGGTTCTTATCCCGTGCCAGTCACCCTCTATTTTTAAAGTGTGACACCAACTACCTTCACGAGTGTCAAATCCAAGGAAGCTAGGCCCTGATAATAAATAATATATACCTAATTCGATAAAAGTAGATATGATTCATTCAAAAGCTTGAAGTATCAAATATTATAATGTCTACCTTAAATATCAAGTTTTTTCTGAAAGGTTTTTCTTTCTTTGTTTCTTTTTGTAGTTTATGTTTCCAAATAAGACATTTGAAGATCAAAAAAATATATAAGGTAATAATATCTTTTTAACTAAAAAATGCTAAGAGGACATTGAAAATTACTTATACTTTTTACCGGATGGAGTATTAAGTAGAAGTGTCTTATTATTATAGAAAAAAAAAGGGGGATCCTAAGAACCTTTGGTTCATTTGGCCCTAGCTATTTTTGCGATCAAGTTCGAGCTACAACACCTGCAACGTTTCGGTGTTTGCCAAATCCGAATAAAAGAAAACATAGATATTCCCAAATGCTAATAGTACGCTTGTCGGTGGGTATATCTTTGCATGCAGGATAGGTGATTAATTTCATCCAACCACCTTCACGAGTGTCAAATCCAAGGAAGCTAGGCCCTGGCAATAAATAATAGATACCTAATTTGTTAAAAGTAGATATGATTCATTCAATATAAAATTAAAAGCTTGAAGTATCAGATATTATAGCCTCTGCCTTAAATATCAGTATTTTTTTGGAAATTTTTTCTTTCTTCATTTTTTTTGGAATTTATGTTTCTAAATAAGACATTTTGAAGATAAAAAAAATTTAAGGTCATAATGTCTTTTTACCTAAAAAATTCTAAGAGTACATTGAAAATTACTTATATTTTCTATCAGATGGAGTATTAAGTAAAGGTGTCTTATTATTATAGAAAAAAAGGAGGGATCCCAAGAACCTTTGGTTCACTTGGCTGAAGCCATTCTTGTGATCAAGTTCAAGTTACACTTGCAACGTTTCAGTGTTTGCCAAATTCGAATGAAAAAGCATAGATATTCCCAAATGCTAATAGTACGCATATCGGTGATAGGTGATTAATTTCATCCAACCACCTTCACGAGTGTCAAATCCAAGGAAGCTAGGCCATAGCAATAAATAATAGATACCTAATTTGTTAAAAGTAGATATGATTCATTCAATATAAAATTAAAAGCTTGAAGTATCAGATATTATAGCCTCTGCCTTAAATATCAGTATCTTTTGAAAAGTTTTTTCTTTCTTTGTTTTTTTTGGGAGTTTATGTTCCAAATAAGACATTTTGAAGATCAAAAAAATATATATAAGGTAATAATATCTTTTTACTTAAAAATTCTTAAGAGTACATTGAAAATTACTTATATTTTCTACCGGATGGAGTATTAAGTAAAAGTGTCTTATTATTATAGAAAAAAAGGGAGGGATCCCAAGAACCTTTGGTTCACTTGGCTGAAGCCATTCTTGTGATCAAGTTCAAGTTACACCTGCAACGTTTCAGTGTTTGCCAAATTCGAATGAAAAAGCATAGATATTCCCAAATGCTAATAGTACGCATATCGGTGGGTATATCTCGCATGCAGGATAGGTGATTAATTTCATCCAACCACCTCCACGAGTGTCAAATCCAAGGAAGCTAGGCCATAGCAATAAATAATAGATACCTAATTTGTTAAAAGTAGATGATTCATTCAATATAAAATTAAAAGCTTGAAGTATCAGATATTATAGCCTCTGCCTTAAATATCAGTATCTTTTTGAAAAGTTTTTTCTTTCTTTGTTTTTTTTGGGAGTTTATGTTCCAAATAAGACATTTTGAAGATCAAAAAAATATATATAAGGTAATAATATCTTTTTACCTAAAAACTCCTAAGAGTACATTGAAAATTAATTTTATACGTTTTATTAATATGGTCCATTCCATTAAATAAAAAAAATCATCAAGTATAAATTACCTAATTATTTTTTAGTTTTTTTTGTGTTTGCATATTAGGAAAAAATGCCTTATATTTAAAATTGAGGCAATGCCATCCCTTATTCCTAACACATCCCTTCTAAAATTTCTCATGATCAATAATATAAGATTTTTTTTTTCATAAAATTTAGTGAAGTATTTATTATGTATTTAAAAAATTCCTCTCATGCAATTAACCCTCAATCTATTAAAAATTATAATCTTTAGGTGGCTTTATGATAGAAGAGTTAGTGACTTAATTAAGGATATATTCCCTCTTGTCTAAAATATAAGTAGCTTTTAATAATATCACACAAACCAATAAAATCTTTATTATCATGAAAATATATATTTTCCTTTTTACCTTTAGTACTAATTTATGATGAGTGAGAAGAATGTGATAAATTCACAATCACAAGAAATAGGTTAATAAGTACTAAGGGTAAAGTAGAATTTTTTTTTTTTTTACATATACTAAACTGCTTATATTTGGATTAAGATCAACTAGGAGAAAATGTGTATATTTTGAACTAGAGGAAGTATAGTTTTGAAATTTTTTTAAAAATAAATTTCTCATGATCAATAATATAAGATTTTTTCCATAAAATTTAGTAAGTATTTATTATATATTTTCAAAAATGCCTCTCATGCAATTAATCCTCAATCTATTAAAAATTATCATCTTTGACTGGCTTTTGATATATGAGTTAGTGACTTAATTAAAGGAGGATATATAGTTTTGGAATTTTTTGGCAATTTTTTTTAAAAATAAAATTCATTAACTAATTTTAATTATTTATTGGTCTTGTTGCTAGTGATTATGATCCATTAATTACCAAGTATCCTGATATTAATAGGGTACTTATGTATAAATTTCTGGGTATTTTTTTTTATAATTTTTAGGTCATTTTTTATAATTTATTGAGTCAATTAATAATGGTCAAAGACTCAAAGTTAACATTTTAAAAGCAGGATACTCAATACATCATTTTTAAAAATTGAAAAGGAAATTGTACCATGGCAAAATACTCTTTAACCCCTTTTTTCCCCTAAAAATCAACTTCATTAACTAATTTTAAATTCGTTTCTAAAACTGTGTCATTATATTTGAAGATCAGAGTTAGTATGGTCAAACTTTCCAACAACCTTTCATTTCCAATGATGAGCCAATGAGGACAGCCACATCAACTATAAATAATAGCTTCCTGTATCTTCAGAATTAGATATCATCCTTTATTCAGAAGTAAAACTTTGCTGCTTTGTATTTTGTAAATGATGGAGTTTGAAAGTGCACAACAATTTCTCAAGGGGAAGACCATTTTAGTGACTGGTGCTACAGGCTTCTTAGCAAAAGGTACATATGTATTCCATCATCTTTAATTTACACACAAATATTAATTTTTCATCCCCTTGCCAACGATATATTTGCAACAGTTTTTTCAGTTTTTAATTACTTAGTGATAGGTTCTTTTTCTACTCCAATCTACGACAGAAATACAGATTCATCACTAGTACGTAGGATTATCTCTCTGTTCTCGCATACAAGTCGGTGACTAATTTTTTTTTTGTTTGCAAAAGAAATTTTATGGATTTATTTTGGTGGAATTAGAATGCTCATATAAATTGACTTTGGTGAAATTAATTAGGATTAAGGTGTATTTTTATCTCTAAACTTTTCCTTGAAAAGCAATTTTACTCCTGTATTAATAAATGAGGCAATTTTACCCCTGAATTTTTTTTAATGAGCAAAAAGCCCCTTCTATAAGGTGCCTAGCGCTCTTTAAAAAAATAGTTTAGGGATAAAATTATCCTATTTTTATTAGTACGGGGGTAAAAATGTACCTTAACCAAATTAATTATTGATGATTATTGGTTTAGTTAAAAGTAATATTTTTGTACTAAAAAGAGAGTAATATGTCAATGTTTATATTTGATTCTGCTCTCTTTAGTTTTAATTTATTGTATATTAATGCAAATTACAAGCATAATGCATGTTTTGAAAAATAAAACCAGTATTATCGAATTGTAATATATAGGAGGTTGTCTCACAAGTTAGCAATAATTTGAAATAATGAAAAGCAGGGTGAAAGAAATGAAAAAAAAAAGTATGAATGGTATACATATAAGAAAGCAATTAGAAAGGGGGAACAAGTTGAATGAAATAAAATAAAAAATGAAAATATATCTGTTAAATGTCTAATAAGTCATTTTCAAATTAAGGTTATATTTTAGAAGATTTTTTATTTCAAAATATAAGTCATTTTGTAGAATTCTATAGCAACTAGTGATTTATTTTCGAAAACTCCAGATAATGATATACTAGGATTTATGATGGATTATGATAATATGAGCGCTGAGTATATTGATCAAGGGTATATTTGGAAGGACGAAAATTTTTATGACATCTTATTTTTCTTTGTCTGTGTTACTTAGTTAAAAATAACTTATATATTATAACATAGGGAGTATAGATTTATCAAACTTTGTAAGTTGAAAAGGTTAAAAATAAAAATTTGGGAATGGAATGTCTATGATAATGTCTTAAATAAACACCACTCCCAATTAATATATCACAAGGGAAAAAAATAAATCACATATACTAAGAAAAGTTGTTAATTTTTAACCTTTATCAAAATATTATATATCATTATAAATCACACATACTAAGAAACGTTGTTAATTTTTAACCTTTATTAAAATATTATATAACATAAGTTTTTTCACCATACACCTCCTATACTTTTTATTAATAATTGAAGGGTATGATGGGAAAAAACTCAATAAGTGAACCTCACATCTTCTTGTCTTTTCTTGTACTCCATCTAACCCTAAATATAATACTATGATTTAAATCCTCTGAAGTTGAGAATTTG